GTAATCTGCTACGCGCTAGTTAGCATTGCCTTCCTAGCCTAACAGAGAGGAGACGAAGAAAACAGACCGAGTCTGGATCGGTGCGGCCGGCTTTCATATCCGCTAAAAAACAGAACCGTTTGGCTGCGACTGTTGGCGGATACTTAACGGTCATTAACGCAGTAAACCCAACAACAGCGTAAAGTCTCCTTATGTATTTTCTTTTTCCACAGTTTCTTCCCCCTGGGCCCTTCCCCCGGCCGCACATGGCAGCCGTTGAATCCGCTCACCTTCCCGGCCACACGTCCAAGCCGGACGATCCCGAGCTTAAAGTCCGACATCAGGGGGATGGCCAGTGGTGACAGAGGGTGGTTTGGGATTGAACCTGAACGTTATTCCGGCGTTAATCTCGCCAGTGCGGCCTGTAGCTTCGATGCCAGTTTTGGGTAAACTGGCAGGATGTTTGGCGCTGACAGTGGGTCTTTCCGGCAGCTCGGGCTCAACCTCCGTGACACACACACAGCTGCCGACGCTGGCGCAGGAAAGACCAGAGCTACTGCTGCTGCCGATTCTGGGGCGGAGCATAAAGAGCCGCTCGCCTCGCTGTCCAATCAGAATCCAGTCTTGTATTTTCTAACGCCTGACGTCAGATCCCACTAACCAATCGAAATGAGCTTTTCCAAGTTCTACCCGTTTTATTGTTGACATCATCATACTCTCGTGACCACGTCCATCCATTTTCCCGCGAAAGGTTTGATAACTGGGAGGGATCATCGCTCTTTATTCAAATTATGACTGATGTGTTTGACGTCACAGTTTATGACGTTTATTACGAAAATAGTCCTGGTAAAGCGCATTAAGAAGGCGTATAGCGCACTCTGGGTACATGCTTAAAAGTGTCAAACGACAGTGAAGAAATATATATATGTATATATGTATACATATATATAACAAGGGTTCGTTATTGTTAATTATTATTGTTAACAATAATGTATTATTGTTATAAGAATTATTATTGTTATAACATATATGAGCATATAATGCAATTTTGTGAAACAAGACCAACCAGAACCTTTGGCCACAGAGAGCGATGCATTTATCTATCCAGGTAATTTCACGTATTTCACAAACAAATCACCCTTATTTTAAATCACAGAACATCTGTTCAATCTCAATGGTCACTGAGCGCCCTCGAGTGATCAGGAGATGTATTACACTACTTCGAATCGTTTCGATTTCCTTCAGATTATTTATTTATTGATCTCATGGTCAATAGCTTACATCCTAATGATTCCTGTTAGTGTATATACGTCACTCGTAAAATCTATGATCTATAAATTAATTTCTTTGTATTCCTTTTTATTAGTCACTTTGAAACAACTTATATTTTAAAATCAACTGTGTGCATAGACTGTTTTTGCCCTTCCATGGCAGAAACATTTTACTTATCAGTGAGGGTTTGATTCCAATAATGAACTAATGTGCAATTTTAAAAAAAGAGGATAAAAAGAGGGCTGAAGGTGCAACAAACATAAATAACAGACTGGATACCTGGACAACAAGAGGTTAAAGGTAGTAACATAAATAACAGACTGGATACCTGGAGCTCAACAAGAGGTTAAAGGTAGAGAAACACTTCAAACAGAAAATTACATTTTTTTTAATCTCCCGCACCCCCTAGTGGCAGCACACTTGGGGTATCACTGCTTTTAGAGGTAGTGTTTACTCTAAAAAGAAATACTGTAATTGAATATGCCGAGTAAGGATAACGAGGAAGACCTCAAGGAAGATCGTGGACGCACTGGAAGACAGGAGGATCTTTTGTGTAACAGTAGAGGGGGGAAAGGGGGTAAAGATGGAGTCGGATTATCCAGTGAGGCGACCCCTAGGGGAGCAACTAGAGGAACATTATTATCAATGGGATGAATGTTAGCTTACCCCCCTGGATTGTTGTGTGACATGCCTTCACATTTGTCTCTCAGATTTTATCCAATACAGTAACATCGTTACCTCAGTTGTGAGTCGGCCTTAAGTTCCTGCTTACTCTTCAAACAGCCATTTTAGTCAGGACAGAAAATCTCATTTACATGTATTTGTTAGGATTAGCCGACTCGACACAAACAGAGGAATGTTTTGTCCGACACCCGATCTGGCCGTCCGTTCTACTCATATTAACTATTTTAACCATTTACAAAAGATACCTTTATGCTGGTTTAACAGTGGTGTCTTTTTGCCTCTGCTCCTCCTGGTTCATAGTAAAATGAGGAGGAAACCCACCCAGGGCACAATTCCGTCAATATTTCCTCTCTAATTACCCAGATGGGGCAAAGAAGAGGAGTGGGTTTTCTGTTGTTCCCTGTGTTAGTCTAAAGCAAGTAAAAATAAAACTTTTTGACTCGTGGGCCACAATTGTCCTAAAATTTGACGGGGGGGGGGGGGGGAGGGGGGTCAGGAGTAGATAGATGCAGTGTTTGTGTGAACTGAAGATAAATGACATGTAAAAGTCATGCATAAAGGATAAGATGCTAAAATGTTTTTATCAGATGATAATAGGTTTCTACACCACCTATTGGGGAAATATTGGTATTGCAGGAAAAAGGCAGAAGTACAAAGATAATATAAATAAATTATATAATTATTATTACAAAGATAATATAAATAAATTATATAATAATTATTAAAGTTTGGCTGAACGGGCCGCATCCGGCCCCCGGGCCTTAGTTTGCCCATGCCTGTTCTAAAGTAACATGTGGTTTCTGTGTATTACTTTATAGCCAGCCCTCATGCTGTTAAGAGATTAACACGTGTTTGTTAAAGACCACACCTCATGCCTCAACACACTCCTGCTCACTCCGACACCTTCCCAGACACTGGGTGTTACTCCGTTTCGCTAAACTGTGCCCATGTCATCTCTAAGGTGTGGCTAAACCTCTGGTTCCCAGGAATATTCATACGATGACACTGTTATTACAACAGACCTTACTTTACGATGGTCATTTTTTACTAACGCTTTGGAATTTGTTGTTTTTTTTTCTCACACGTGGACGTCCAGTGAATATGCAGTAGTCGTGATGACAGAGTGAGTCCAAGGCTGACTCATGGTGTGATGGAACGTTTTTACAGATAGAAACAGCAGTAGAAAACATAAAGGAGGACTAAAAGTTGCCTGTTTTTGTCACAACATTTTCAAGGTATTGTGATCATCTGTGATTGTGTGTGTGTGTGTGTGTGTGTGTCCCACTTTACGGTGTAGTCACAAGGGGGGCAGGTGTTGCTATTTTGAAGATCCTGAAAATGTCCTGATTTTCCACTTTCAATGTCCAGATCATTTTATACAGACTTAACTCTGTCTTCAAAGTATCTTATGAGTAGAAGTTTTTTATTTTTTGTGGGGGGAGGACTTTTCTTTACACTTACAGTGCCCCCCCCCCCCCACCCTCTCCCAGATTGGACAAAGTCATTCATGTGATTTTCATAGCTATTAAAGGGTCTTAAGATCCATTGTTTTTGTGCAACTTCTTTCTAATCCTCTATTACAGAACCATTCATCTATTTACAAAAGTGGTTCACAAACTAAGGTGTACATACCACTGGTGGTACTCAGGCTCCCTCTAGAGGTCATTAAATTAAGAAGAAAAAAAATACTTATACTGGAGCTATTAACAAGAGACCTGAGGAGACATATATAAATGAATATAAATATAAACAGGGAGACTCGGTTCAGGCTAAAGCGAAAAGTATGTTTATGTATGTGTGGTTTCCGAAAGGAATTGAAGTGTCGGTTGTTGGGCTATTTAATGTTACAGTGTGGATTGGACTAACAAATAGGCTAATATATTTTATATATTTAATATATATTTTTGAATGTATATACTGTTTAGCCGAACACCTATTAACCTGTGCTGCTGTATTTTAATGTTAGTCTGACTAATGGTACACAGAGACATATGTTCAAGGACCCCTGAAATATACTGGGAAATATATGAAGAAAACCTCAACAGGCAGCGAGGAGCTGACGCCCAGGTAAACAGCAGTAAAAACCAGCCGAGCAGAAACCCTTCCTGCAGCTCTGACCTCTGCCGCGTCTCTCTGTCTCACTTCCGTGTTCCTCGGCTCACCTGTTACACCTGTGTTACAGCCGCTGCACCTGCTGCGTTATTACTGCGCCATGTCGGCGGAGTTCACAGCGTGCGATTTAACGCTCGGCGAACCGGGGGAGACTCTGAACGCCGTGAATAAAAGTAAAAACATGGAGAGTGAACAGCCTATCTTCACTGTGATGACCGGTGGTGGAGGAGCCGGGGAGAAGCGACTGGACGGCGCGAAGCCGAGTTTCTGCGGTGGTGGTGGTGGTGGTGACGCGGTGGCTTTGACCGCCTCCGACAACGAGTCTGGAATCTTCTCCGGGGAAAGTGAATTCTGCGTAGAACACGAGTCCGAACTGGACTGGTTCTGCGGCACCGAGCAGAAGCTCATCTGCTCCCACTGCGCCATCGTGGGTCCCTGCCACGGTCACACCGTGACCCCTCTGTCCACGAGGGTGACGACCATCAGGGTGAGTTAGAGAGTGTGTGTGTGTGTTTGATTTAGCCCATACCAAAACACTGGGTTGGGATCCAAAAACGGTCGTGGGATTTTTCTTGAAGGGTCACTGTTTATTTTTTTACAACCCGGGACTGGAATTAAAGGAAGTATTTAAACATATACTTTGTCACAAAACAAAAACAAAAACAACAAAACAAAGGCTGTACACGTCATGGTTTCAGAAGTAATTTTGGTTTTGTCGTCAGGTTTTATTTGAAATGAAAATACTTCTCAGTGATGTAACATCCCGTCCTGTCACCTGTTAGCTCCACCTTCTGGCAGGAAAAGTCGGTTGTTGTAGGCGCTAAAGTAAAAAAAAAATTATGACTGGACAGTTTGTGTGACTGACAACATGAACGTCCACGAGACTTCAGTGAATAATGTGATGTCATCAATGTTTACCGTCCAACAGGATGATGCAGCTGTCAATCACGTGGTGTGGGAATATGATATGAATATGTTCCAGAGAAGTAACTTCTAATTCAAAACTCTATCAGTCATTTTTAATGTGTGACGTTTATCTGTATACACACTGCCCTCTACCTGTAACACCCAGGGTTTTTTTGTTTTTGTTTTTTGTTTTTTAGCAAGAAAGTGGTTTTAACATTTATGAATTTGTTATTATTTAATTAATGGTTCATTACACTTTTGGTTTTACATGTAACATATAATATGACATGACAATATTACGTTTCAGTTTTTATTACTTTTTTGCCTCAGGCATGTTGTCAGATTATTATTATTATTTTTGATTATTGCCTCAGGCATGTTGTCAGATTATTATTTTTGATTTTACTACGTCACACTTTTTAATTAATCTCTTTTTTTTAGACAAAAGTAACTCTGAAAGGTCATTGGTTTTAATGGGAATATGTGACTAAACTCAGTTTTTAATTATTAATAATTGATGGTTATTAATTTGCTATTATTTTTACGACACTGTTTGTGACTGTTGCTTTTCTGATTATGGAAACCATTTTTATTTTCCTTTTTAGAGTTCCTACGGGAAAATGTTCAAGGCTGACAGACTCATTAACAACATGCAGCGAAATTATTATTATTATTATCATTATATGAATGAAGCGTTAGGCTGACTAATCCTTTTAGGGTGTGTCAAAGTTAAGTATCTTGTCTTAGTCTTTAATCCTCCTGCTGGGTGTTTAAAAAGACAGGACGTTCTTGTTGGGTTTCCCGCTAATCATTTTGTCTTGTGCCATGCACCTTTTTATTTATTTGTGTGTGTGTGTGTGTTACAGAACCAACTGGTAGACGTGTGTGAAAAAATGCAGCTGAAGGCCCTGAGGATTGAGAAGTTTATTAACCAGACGCTGACGGCCAAAGATCAACGGCTTCTGGTAAAAGAAAAGTGTTCAGTCAACAGTCAGAGCCACAGTGTGTTCTGCCAGATTAGTCCCTGCTATTTACCTAAAAAAATATTGAATTAAACCAGTAATACGACTCTTTCCTCTAATTATTTATTGTATAGTTAGAAGGTGCTTGATTTTTGTTTTTGTATGCAGCGCCCCCTCTTGTAGATAACGTTTATACATTCATTCATAACACTGTTATTTCTACAAAACTGACTGTAAAAACAAACAAAAACATATCAAAATTTAAATGATTTAACCTTGCTGTGTTCCCGTTGCTGTAGCTCTGCACTTCTATTGGGACCTCGCCCCCAACTTTGTTGCCTAACAGTGGTTTTCCGTGTTATAAGGCAACGTAACTCTGCTCCTTTTTTTTACAGTTATTTTATTTTTTTTTTTACAGTTATTTTACAAACTGTGACTGTTTGTCGACTTTGTTTGTCAACTACTTCCTGTTTCTAGAACATCTATATGAACAACTACAGCGGTAGTTATAAGTCATGGACTGTCGGTACAATTTCTGGCCCGGGCAGAGCTAGTCAGTGTTGAGCAAGCAGCAGAACTCCTTCATTCCCAGCTACGATTGGTTGAATTCCAGGGACAGATTTTATTGCGAGTATATGTAGAAATACAAATAGTGTTGCTGCTTTTAATGAGTGTTAGATAAAACAGACAGGGTGGGCGTTGGTCTTTGATATGTAACACAGTACAGTGCAGTGCTTCTCAAAGTGAGGGGCGGGCCCCACCAGTGGGACATGACAGGCAAGGGGGAGGGGGAGCAACAAATGGGAGGAATTTTCCCTGCACTTTTATTTTTCTCTTTTTGAACTTTGTGTTCTTTGATGTTATTGATTTTCATTCATTTTAAAATATGATGTTACTTTCAAATAAAGTTAAGATTTTTTGTTGGGGTTAGAAGTCAGGTATGAAGGAAACGACCAAAAGAGTTCGAGAACCACTGGTATAGTGAAAACATAAAATAAAGAAATCCCAACCTGAATAAAATAGATATTTCTAATTGTTTGAGGAACATAAGAGTATAAACAAAAGACACTGTAATCACTCACAGCGTCACCTGTTGGCTGACTGAAGAAGAGTCCACAGTGTAATGTGTTTCACACAACGGTTTAAGACCTAATCGATTGCTTACACTTTGAGATAAAGGTCGTGTTTGCTCCTTCACCTGAAACACCTGAAAATCAGCAGGTAAACAAACGCCTCCCTCTGTCCCACAGGTATGTAGTCAACCCTCTCCTCCTCACACAATGGGTCTACAGAGATCAGAGGAGCGCGTGGTTCATGCTCAGATTATCAGGTTACGGAGAAAACCAGACCTGAAGCAAACAAACCAGTGTGACCTCACCCCTGTCCTCTCCTCTGCAGGCAGCAGCCAGTCGAACAAGAGAGCAGGTCCTGGCTCAGGTCAGCGCCGCCAGGGAGGCTCTGGAGGAGGAGGAGCAGCGGCTCCTGGAGGAGGTGCAGCGGGAGGAGGAGCGGGTGGAACAGTGTCTCCTCACTCAGAGGGCCCACTGGAGCCAGGCCATGGGGACGCTGTCGCAAACGCGCTCACGCCTGGTCCACATGCTAACGCACACGCCAGACGCTCAGCTGGTGGTAAGAGAGCGAGTGTTAGTTCATGAGGAAAAGAAGAACTTTAGTTTAAATCACTGTTTACGTCTATGAGAGCAGTCACTCATATATATATATATGTGTGTGTGTGTGTGTGTGTATTCTCTCTTGTCTTTCAGACCAATATCCAGGATATAGCTGAGAGGTAAACATTTTTTCACATCATTTCGCACCCAGGGGGTCAACCTCATTTAGGTTCAGGGGTCACATACAACTCAGAACTGATGTCAAGTGGGCGGAACCAGTACAATCACAACATAACATAACCATTAATAACAATAAGTCCATGTTTTTCCCCTTTGTTTTCATGCAACTATAACAGAAAATATTCATATTTAATGACATATCATTTGACAAACCGTCACTAACATTAAGTGTTTGTGCTTTTTTTTTTCACTTTCAAAATGTATCAAACGGGCCGGATTGAACCCCCTAGTGGGCCGGTTTTGGCCCACGGCCCGTATGTTTAACACCCCAGTGTATATTTTTTTTTTGTGCTTCCTTTAAATAAGTTACTGTTTATTTTCTTGTCTTTCGTTTTGCCTCTGTGTGTGTGTGTGTGTGTGTGCCAACGTCAGGGTGGAGGAGGCAGAGGGAGTGGGCGAGCCCTGTGACACAGAACAGCTCAACCTGAACCCAGGCTGCAGTGACAGTAAGCTGCTCAGGGGTCTGTGGGCCACCGCGGTGCTGCTTGGCCCGAACGGTCAGTACCACGAAAACATTAACGCGTACGGATGTGTTGAAAACACATATTCTACAAACGATATGAGCCAAAGTATTTTTAATTGTGTACTCGCTGATAATGAGTACTGATTAGGGGATGTCCGATATTAACTTTTTGCTGATATCCGATATGCCGATATTGTCCAAACACTTAATTTCTGATTCCGATACCAAGCGATACCAGTAGAAATAGGCCTGGTAATATTTATTTATTTATCTGTACAAACCACTGTATGAGTATGAGATTAATTAAATGAGTTGCAATGCTGCCATCTAGTGACCTTTGCTTTAATATACAGCCATTTATTCTTAAAACTATTTTTGGGCACACATCATTTGGCGAAACCCAGGCATTGCGTTGTCGGGTTGTCATTATCAGAGGAAAACCGATAACGATTCTTACAGATATTACACAATATGCTAATATCGGGCCGATAATATCGGTCGGCCTATAATATCCAAGCGCTCTACCAACTGACACTGTCGTCAATGTATCAAAATATATAGATCCAATAAATAAAAATTATGGACAGAAAGTGAGTGGAGCTTTTTACACCAACGACAAATTATATTGAAACAAAGTGTCAGTTAAACGGTGTAGCTATATTTTCATGATTGAATCAACAAATTAACACAAAATGTTGGTTAACGTGTCGGTGACCAGGTGACCTGGTGTGTACTGTACGTCTGTGACTCATTCCTCATCCTCCTGTCGTTTCCGTCTACAGCTTATGGATCGGTAAATATAAAGTTCGACGAGCGCACAGTGAGCCCCCTGCTGTCCCTGTCCGAGGACCTGTGCACTTTGACCTTCCTCCGGAAAAAACCCCGCAAATCCCCACCGTACGACCCATCGCGCTTTGACTGTTGGCCCAACGCCCTGGGTTCCCTGTCCATGTCCTCCGGCACCCACAGCTGGATGGTGGACGTGGGCGACAGCGGTGCCTTCAAGGTCGGGGTCTGCTACGCCTCCATGGAACGAAAGGGCTCCGGGAACGAGGCGCGACTCGGCCACAACTCCCAGTCCTGGGTGTTGTCCCACTACGACGTGGACTACTCCTTCTGCCACGCCGGGAAGAAGGTGGCGCTGCAGGTGGTGAAGACGCCCAGGAGGATCGGTTTACTGCTGGACTGGCCCAGCCAGACGCTGCTCTTCTACGATCCGGACTCCAGCGCCGTGCTCCACTGCGTCACACAACACTTCAGCGCCCCCCTGCTGCCTGCGTGCGCCGTCACCGACCGCAGCATCACCGTCTTAAACTAACCGACTGCGCGACAAAATACTGAAATGACTCCAAACATGTGAAGAAGTAAAAGACAGAGACTTTTTTTTGAACATGTGACCGACTGGTGAAGATTCTCCATCTGTGCAATCACTACATCCTTAGACAGTTTTTATTTATTCCTTCGAACTGATGATCCTTCTGTGTTGGTTTGAATTCCTTTAACTGTTGATTACATTTTACAGATGTTGAACTTGTTTGACTGATTGTGATTGTGTTGTTGTTGGTTTTTTAGTTATATTTGTGTTTTTTAAGGTAATTGTTTGTGTAATTAGATTTAATGAAGGTAATGAAACGTCATCAACTTTAATTGTAGGAAATAATCACTGCAGCACTGGTTGGTCCCGATCTGCGGTTCAGGCCACGTGACGTATTATTAGTAAACTGATGACAATGCAGTGCTCAGTAAACAGTGGCGCTTTTTTGGTTTCAGGCTGAAAAAGTCAGACATTTAGAAATATATTTTCAAATGGTTGTTTTTCTGTCTGTTTCACGGTTGGGTCTTTGATCGTAACAGTTGTCGCCAGGGTCACTTCCTGTCCAGTTGTTAAGTCAACCCATTCCCTCTGTACATCCCCAAACCTCCTGTCATTAGACTGTTGGTCACACATGATTGGCTCCCTGCGGTTGCCAGGTTCTTTGGACAATTCTCAGTGAAGTTATTTTTTCAACCTATTTAAGAAATCTGGAAAAAAAAACATATGTAAAGGCCGTGTTTTTAGCTTGTCAAGTCACACAGTGTTAGATTTCAGTGGAATGTTTGTATATTTCATTTATATGAAGAAAATATAAAAAAAATATTTGACTGGTTTTCATTTGCCCAGAAAGAATCATTTTTTAAAGTTCGCATCAAAGTCGCTTTGGTATAGAGTTAGTGTCGAGGGGTGAAAAATATGCACAATTAAAAGTTATACTTAAAATCAATCATTTTGTAAAATTAGAACATCGGGTTCAAAACGTTCTCACAGAAAAGGTGGTGAGGCAAATTGAGAAATGATACATATCAACACTAGATGTTGCTGTACCACACAATTTCCATTTCATGGAGACTTCCTTAGGATAATGACAGTGTGTGTACATATCTAATTACAAAAAAATAAAATAAATAAAATTTGATTTTCTGCAACATTTTTGTTTCGGATACAATTAACGGCCATCCAGTTAAAATTCGACTTCAATTTAAATATTAAAATATTTAAAATTCAGCGATGTTTCTAAATAAGCCCACTAGAGGGCAGTGAGCTCTCACTCGACCGTTGTGAACCTTCGCTCCTGAAAACATCTTAAGGTCACACCAGTGGACAGGGTTCATACAGTAAGACAGTGTCTTCTCTCCAGGACCAAGGACAGTTACAGGTATTGCCAACAAAATAAATACTTGAAAAATACTCTGTTGTGTCATTATTTAATAACAAAGCAACGAATTAACATAAAGTAGCAGTGCAGTAGTACAAATAAAATATGTTGAAAAAACGTTGTTGTCATTCACGCTGTGGTACCACAGGAAGAGAATACAACATGACACACTGACTACAACCGCAGTGATGTGGGGTCAGAGGTTACACTCCTGGTCTTGAAGACAGAGTCATCATGTTGTTTTAGACGTGTTTGAAAAAAAAAAACCAAAACATTAAAATCACAGCCCCTTTATCTGAACCACACTTGTAAATTTTGTCTGATTTTTTTTTCAGGCAATCAGGGAACCCTACTAAAGACTATCCTACCTATGACAACTTTCATCACATCATGGAGCTTTTGACTCGACGCCAGCGTAAAGGCACCATGTGTATATTAACGTCTGATGCTAACACAGACAGGGGAAACGTGAGGAGGAACAGACCACTGTTAGCCAAGGGTGACATTTCCCAGTTCCTCCGTGTTTAACATCAGAATTTCCATATTGTCATAGTGTTCTTCCTTGTTTTTTCTTTGTTTTTTGTTTTCATTCGGGAGGCTTCTGTATTGTCACTCTCAGGTGTTCCTCTTCCTGGACGTGCTGGTTATGACTGGTGCAGGTTGGATGTTCAGCTCTCGCCTCAGGTCTTCCAGGCTCTGCTCCCACCGTCGCTCGTAGAAGACGCTGAGCACGCAGCGAGCCTGGCGACCACTCTGCAGGGCCCAGGGCCCCAGCACCGTCAACAGTTTCTGTAAACGCCTGAGGAACGTTGATAATAATATTACTCCACTTCCTTCGTAGATAAGGAAGTTCGAAAACGAGGAAGGATTTATAGGTAGGTGATTGGCTAACTGCCAAGTGTCAGTTATGACAATGACAATAATCTGCACTGGTACAACCCTGTAAAACTGATAGTGTCAGAGTACTGCTGGGAAATGTATCCAGTCAACCATGTTTTATTGAACTTCCTGCAAAGTTCCATATTGCTCTACAATAACGCGAACCACTTATCTATACCTGCGGTCCACATCAAGTACGTGTCCCACTGTGGGCACTCGTGCTCTCTCTAGTGGTATACATGAAATACCAGTAGATGGGAGAGTGTTTTCTCCAGCGACACAGCAACAATTTGTAGCCTGTGTGCAGTTGTCAGGGCGACACTAAGCAAAGGTCAGAATGACCTCAACTGTTTGAAGGAGAAACATTGGCTTAGAATCAATATTTATGTTGTTAAGAATAATAATAATAAAAAAAAAACCTGCGTTATCTTTTACAGACGAAGGTTTATTTTATTAAAATATAAAGCTATTTTATTTGGGAATTTTCTGCTAAGCTTTTATTCTTAGTTTTTTAAATAGTTTTTTATAGTAAATACTATATATATATATATATATATATATATATATATATATACACACATATACAGTAGATACTAACAGCTGTGTGTGGGAAGAAAATACACAAGTTCATCTGTGTTTGCTTCAGAGGAATCAGTGTTATAACAGTCTAAAAAGACTGTGGAAACCCCCACCATCCACACCTGACCAGCAGAGCGTAAGCAGAACAGGAACAAGACACTGAAGCAGCTCAAATTACTTTTCATAGAACACAATGACCACCTGGGACTGTCCTACCAACAGGTGTAAATTCTTCAACCAGGTCACATCCTGGTTGTAGTTTGTAGCTGTGACGTCGTACCGTCTGTTCTGTACGATCAGGTTTTTCA